TCAAGACCTTTCATTTGAGTACCCACATCAATTTTTCATATATTTATATATATTATATATATATATATGTATATGTGAAAAATATATCAAAATGCATGTGGGTACTCAAATGAAAGCTCTTGATTAGTGTGAAATTGGGATGAGCTTATATCTTTAAAAACCTCAATATTTAAGAAAGTACAGTGCATTTTAACAAAAGTCATTATTTAATAAAGCAAAATGTTCTTTATTTATAGTTTACAAGTCATGACAGTCACATAGTATAGTGAGAAAAAAAATTTTTTAAAAAATAAAAAATCTATACCAAAATTTGCATGATCATTTAAAAAGAAAGAAATTTTAAACGCTTAGAATTAGTAAAAAAAATATTTCAAAATTTTCAATAGAATTTTCTTTTAAATAAAAAAAAAATGTCTTAACTTTCAAACAATAAATTTATGAAAAAGAAATTTTTCTAAACTCTAACTTACAACAATCGGTTACAGTAATAATAGCTTAGAATCATCTTGAATATGAAGAATACTTCTGAATGTTAATTTGCTTTTCTATTTATCATTATCTTGTTTTTCCTTTCTCTTATTCATAGATGATGTAATTGAATTCATCTGTATTGAATGCAATGAACAGTTGAATATGAAAATACTTATTATCTAATTGGAATTATGAGAAAACTTTTAACAATTGTTTTTGTAAATAATTATAATCAAGTAGTTGATGTTGAAAGATTACAAATTTTTTTTAATAAAAAAATGAGCTCAAATTTATGAATTAAGGTAAAAGATCTTTTTTATAGACTTTTAATGTATAAATTTAACTTAAAAAAAATTGTAACTGCAAAATAATTGAGTTGTCGCTTCTACAAACCATAAAAACATTGAGTAATTACAGTGCATTAATTTTTTGCGGTGATCAAGCTTGACTAAAAGTAATTCAGGTGAAATCATAAATTTTATATATTAAATTTTTATGATGTTACAATTACATTGATAAAAAAATTAATTTGATTTGAAAAAAACTTTTTTTGATAAATTAGATCGTTTTAAATCAAGCAAAATTTTTTTAAGGAAATTTTTCTTAAGTAAACTTGAATTTTTTTTTTTTTTTTATCAATTCACACTACTGTCCAGTAAACAATTTTTAATATTATATCATATTCATATGTAAGATAAAAGAAAACTGCAACGACCATTAAATTTTTTTTTTTGCAAATGAGTAATATAAAAAAAATTCCACATGTCGTTAAAACTTTCGTTTTGAGTATCTCATTCTCTCGAAGAATTAAATCCAATGTCCTGACTCACAATTTTTATATATGTACACGTGCATATAAATATAGGTATACGTACCTTTTTTGTAAATATATATATGTTGAGTAAGAGTAAAAGGACACGGTGAGAAGGCCATGGAGTATAAAAGGGGAGTTAAAGAATTTTAGTGAGCTATACTGAGAATAAGAGGTAAAAGAGTTAAATACATAATAATCAGAGGTTTTTTATTTATTTAATGGGATATCCGTTAAGAATTGAAAAATTTCTTCCTGTAAAAGAGTAAAATGTATATTGTTTTTTGAACTACATTGAGAGAAAAAATTTCTTTTGAAGAAAATGATCAATGTTGTGTATAATAAATTAATTTGTTGAAAAGTTTAAACAATTGGTAATTATTTACAAGTGGGACCACCCTATTTTTGACCATATCTAGGTGAAAAATTAACTTTTTTGCTTTTAAAAGTTGGAAAAAATTTTGGCACTTATGTTTTTGTATAAAATTTCTATTTTATCTTTTTTTGATGTTTTTTTTTGAAAAGTAAAAATTTGAATATGACAATTTTCTAAAAAATTTCTAAATTTTTTTGAATATTTGTAAAATTTGTTAAAATTGTGATAATCAACTTTTTTTTTTTAATTGTTCATTTTTTAATGTATTTTACAAAAAAAAAATCAATAAAATCAAATAGAAATTTCGTTCAAAAAAAATGAAAATTAAAATGGTGGACCCCACTTGTAAATAATTACTAAACAATTTTATTTCTTAGCAGAAGAAATAAAAATTTTTCTCGCAGTAACTTTCTTGTTAAAAAAAATTTTTTGATTCGGATAAAAAACAAATTTAGATAAACAGCTTACAAATTTTTTATCCAAATCTAAAAAAATTTTTTTTTAACAGGAAAGCTACTATGAGTAGAATTTTAAAAATTTTCAACAAATAAATGTCTTGTTAGGTGTCATTAGATTAATACAATGATCAATACAAGTGATTTGATGTTTGATGTTTTGCCCTGAAACTCAGCCTTGAGCTTGTCTTTAGAATTAAAACCTCAAAGGGGTCTTACGAAGTCTTTTAGTATTGATGGCCTCTTTGTCCGGCTTCTTACGTTTCTCTCCACCTACCGGCACTTCTATCGCCCACCACGTAGATTATCTTACTTTATTACCAACTTTTTTTTATTACGTAGTTCATCAAAGTATCTTTTGAATTGAGCGTTTCAATACTCCTCAGTTCACATTCAAACTCAAAATTTCTGCCTGACGTAACCCAGATAAAAAATAATAGCTTTACTTCCTCTAGCTGTAAGTTTTATCTAAAAAAATGATGGATTGGAGAAAAACATTTCAAAATATTGAAATTTTATGTTATTATTATTCTCGTTATTGTATAAGAAAAATAGTAGTCATTTTTCATGAAATTATTCCTGACATTTTGTTTTTTGTTTCAGAATCCTTACAAGAGCCAAGATTTACCACGCAACCATCCGGTATTAGTAATATACTTATAGAAAATAGGACTAAGATTCTTCAATGTCAAGCGCGTGGTAAGTTATGTAAATTTTACATAGTATAATTAAGTAATAAATAATAATGCAAAAGTAGATTTTTTTTTATTAAATTGCAGAATCAATATTACATTCATTTTAATTGTTTTCTTCTTTGGGAAGAAATATAGATCTAAGGAGTATTTTATGGCAAATACACTGCAAAAAAAAAAAAACAATCGGTAACCAAAATAGTAGTAGATTTACTATTGGTTAAAAAAAAGATAATGATTTATATTTTTTTTAAATAAAATGTCAAATTTAGAAAATGACAAAAAAAATCTATTGTTAACATAAAGTGATATTATAAATTCACAAATTAAAACTGTTTGTAGTATTAAACATTAAAATATACATAAATGTTGAAATTTATTCAACAAAAATTAAATAAAATATGAATTGTTAGAAACAATTATTATTATTATTATTATTATTTTTATTTATTGACCATGGAGTCTAAGCCCCTTGCGGCCATCCGGATTACAAATCATACAATTTATATGTAATATAAGTACAGAAATAATAACAAAGAACAATTTAATAACAAAATAAACATTAAATTCACATAAAATGATTAACATTCACAATAGTACATATTATAGATTATATAAGTAATTTCAGTGCTAAATAATTATAAATATATTAAATCAATGTAACAGTGACAAAATCAACAATTTGAATATTAAATTGAAATAGATCAAAGCTATAAGTTATATATAACAAATGAATAATTAAACTTATCAAAAGCAAACAACTAAACTGTCAATCAGTGGTAAATATGAAAATTAATTATTCGAAATAGTAAATATCTATGATATCCATGATTCTCAATAATTGTCCACAAGTCACTAATTGTCATCTTTCAAAAAATACTCGTAGCACACAGAAAAAAAAATATTCTTGAATCAAGTATATATTTTTGAAGAGCTCAATATTCTTGGTTTGAGTAGAAAAATTCTTGATTTAAGGAAATTTTACTTAATTCAAGAATTTTTTGTCTTGATTCAAGATAATTACCCTCTTCAAAATTATATTCTTGTTTCAAGAATTTTTCTCTTGAATCAAGTTAACTTTTTTTTCTGTTCACACCCTCCGGAAGTCTGGTAACGTTCAATTCATTAAATAATCGTAGATATACACACTGAAAAAAAAAAAAACATTCTTGACTGGAGGGTAAATTTTCTTGGCTCAAAAAAATATTAAGGAAGATTGAAAATTTCTTGAATGAAGTCAAAGTTTCTTGAGCCAAGAAAATTTCTTCTTGCTCCAAAATAAATTTTGTCTTCCTTAAAATTTTCTTAGCGCAAGAAGTTTTTTTTCTGTGCAGGTATTTTTCGGTCTAAAAATATAAATTGACATGAAAATTGAAGTGCATTTTATGAGCTTTCAAATATAATTTATATAAGTTCAGGAAAATATCGCATTCGAAAATTATTTTAAGTAAAACTTGCAAAAGTGTATTTTTTTTAATTTTCAAAAATTTTTAATAGCTGTAGCTTTTGAAAAAAATCGATAGTATTTTAATAGAAAAAATGTTTATTCACAAAATAACCATGAGTAAAAGTGAGCTAGCAATAGTCCATGAGAAAGGAAGCACTAGTGAATATAAAGGAAAGCATTAGCACAAACTATATGTTATGTTCGAACAACCTTGGTTTAAAAAATTCATTAATTGAATCAAAAAAATAAAACTCGAAAATGAAGAGATGAAATTTTTCTTTAAAAAATTTTTTTTTTATAAATTTTATGAATCCAATTATTTGTTAACGTCAAAAATAACTATTAAACGTGTTTCAGAGTGGGTTCAAAAAAAATATTTTGCTTTTATTTCGAATTATGTAACTTGTTTACATCATTGTAATTAGTTTTATCACTTATATTTAGTGTTGGTATTTTTTAAAATAGTTTTCTTCTATCAAAATATTTCTCTTGAACCAAGTATTTTTTTTTTCAGTACGTGGAATTGTGATCTTTAAAAAATGATTATTGAAAATCTTATTAGTAACTTGGAAAATTAGCAATAAAAGCTTATTAAGATTTTAATTGATGAAAAAATGATTGTTAAGACACACTACAAGCTTTGTTTTGTCAATATTCGATAATTGATAATAATTAGTAATTATAATTGCCTTAAAGACATGTAATTAAGTTTTTCAACTGATCTTAAGATAAATCTAACTTCATATCTCTAAACTCATTAATCAATTAAGTATTTGAAATTTTTAAAACAGTGGGTAATTGATAAAAACTATAAAAACCAATTAATTTAGTGGTCGCATGACAAAAGGTCATAGATTTCTCAAAAAATAGAACTAAGTACTTTATAATTAATTTCTACTATTAATCAATGCTTACAAACTGTATAACATCAAATTTGTGAGGGTTCTTAATAGTAATTAGAATTAAATATTTTGAAGATTACTTAGAAATAATTTTAGACTATTATTTTCTTTTCTCCGCAGTAAAAAAAACATCAAGAAAGACGTTAAATATTTCTTCTAGACGAGGGGTAAAAAATTGAGAAAATTCAGCTGCTTATATTTTAAAAGTATATTTTGGATTGTGCTTTAATTTTCTCAATAGAAATTTAAAACATTTTTCTTTATTAATTTGTGAAATTTAATTAAGTAAATAACTTTTTTTTTTTTTTTTTAAACAAATAAATTATCATTAAAAAATATTTAAGCAAAATTGCAATAATCAATTTCTTAATTTTTTTTGCTCGGAAAAACCTTAAATAGAAAAAAAAATAATAATAATAATCTAAAAAAAATATGCCCGACTCATAAAAAAGACATGAGCAAGTTTTTCATTCTGGGATTAAGATGTTACGTTGGAATATCATATAATTCTTGGATTTACTAAATCTCCGATCTTAGGCATCGAAAAAGATTTAAAATCTTGACAGAACATTGTATAAATTTTTTATTAAATATTTTACTTAACGTAATTTTAAAGTTATGGAACGTGGTAAAATATTTTTTGAATAAAAATAAAATATTTGATTAATAATACAAGTAATTGGATGAAAGTATAAAAAAAATCTTGTTGAGTGTTGAGAATAAATTTACATAAAATATTTAAATACAAAGCGATCCTTTATTTATTCAGTAAGCGAGATTATACGTTATTGATGTGTAATCTGCAGTATATATAAGTATACAGTAGCACGAAAATGCCAGAGAAGAATCGAGACAAACGATTGGATCGAATGACTGAGGGTGAATGAAGCCATAGAATTTCTGAAAGTCGTCAAGTGACGGAGATAGCTTTTATGAGGATAGAAGAAGATAGTGGTGTAATTTGATAAGAAAGAGTTATTTTTAAATAAATATATAAAATTCGATAAAAATAATAATAATAACTAGCAACCTTGCAGTCATTATGTGACTACCATGACTTGTGAACTATAATAAATTAAAATTTTGCTTTATTAAATAATGACGTTTTTAAAGATATAAGCTCATCCCCATTTTACACTCATCAAGAGCTTTCATTTGGTACCCACATGCATTTTCATATATTTTTCATAAATACATATGGGGCATTCCATGCCAAATCAACCACTTTTGACCCTGACCCCTTTTGATTTGGCTGAAAGTTTACCATCCTTTTCTACCCTATTAAAAACGTCTCTCATCATTTTTTCAAATTTTTTTACCCAACCAAAAAAAAGTTCCGAATTTTTCAAAAAAACCGCTTTTTTATTTTTAAATTGCCATAACTTTTTCAAAAATTGGCTTATCGGGACGTTTTTTTTTTTCAAAATTTTTGTTATTAAATGTTCTTTTTGGAAAAAAATATAAAAAAATTCTTTAAAGCTATCTTCATCGTTATTTTTTAAATTTTTAGAAAAAACTCCGAATTTTTTGATGAATACCATTTTTAGTTTCTTTTTTCTTTTTCTCATTCTAAACTTTGACATTTTCTACAGATATCATGAAATTTTCATTATTCCACCGTCACTTGACAAATACTTATCATAATAAATTGACTATCTGTGAAAATCATATAAAACCTTGAAAATGCACAAATTCAAGTCAAGACCTTTGTAATGACACTAAATTTCACTAAAAAAACCGATTTTATCATATGACTATCCTGGACATAAAATTTTTCTTATTCTCTTAATAATATAGATAATTATCACGGTTATTTTTACAGGGTATCCTCCACCAAAATACAGATGGTTCAAAGACGGCGTCGCGCTGAGTAATGAGTTCACATCAGAGTCATTTTGGAGAATTCAAAATGCGAATAAAAAAGACGCTGGAGTTTATTACTGCGTCGCTAGCAATGAAGTCGGCTCAATTTTCAGCGAACGCGTTACCTTCTCGGTAGCATGTAAGTATTTATTTATTACTTGTATTTTTATTTAGTTATAGTTATAGTTTGCTTTTTATATAAGTATCAGTTAGCCGCCGCTTCCTGTAATTATAGAAGCTAAGTTATATATTTATGATGATTTTGTTGAAGTATTATTTAATAGTTTTTAATAATAATATGTACAAGAATTTGTATAATTTATAATAATAAATTGCAACTTACAGATATGGGAGTATTTAAGGACCAAAAAGAAAAGGTAATAAGTGTCGGTTACGGTGAAGCAGCTATTCTAGAGCTACCTCCTATCGAGAGTCATCCAACACCCGACGTCACCTGGTCAACGCCAGACGGGCCAGTACCTTATGGTATTAAATATGCAACGAGTCAACGCCGGCTTCTCATCTTGAATGCCGGCGACAATGATGAAAACTTGTATAGGTAAGAAAATGAGACCGTAACGAAACGTAAGACGCTCTTCTCTCAAGAGTTTTGGCTCAACAAGGCTATACATGGGCTACTATAAAAGTCGCATAAATATTTAATGGTGGTTTAAAAGTTGGTATTAAAAGTATGCAGAATTTTTTGAATTAAATCGTAAATTGCTCTTCAAATATTTTATTTAAAATTTGAAATAAGTATTATTTTTTTTGTAGTTTTATTTATTTATTTATATACTTATACGCCAATCGGCTTCATACACATTGGTAGTACAAAATTTTCAAAAAAATTAATATAAAAAAATTATAATAGAAAAAAGACTAATATACAAAAGAAAGAGTATTGCGGAATTATGTTACAAGATTGTTTTTAATTTAGCTAAGAATGTTTTATAGGAACTTTCAAAAAAATTGATATCTATTAATAAGAGCTGATATTCTGTTTCTTGGACTATTGATGACATAGTTTTTATTAAATTTAGTTGTTTTCAGTAGTCGATTATGTCTAAGGTTAAGATTATTTTCGATGAACTCGAAGCTGTCTAGTAAATCGGGTCCTTCAATTAAGCTTTTGAATAATTTAAAGAAGATAGTTTTAAAAGTGTCCAATTTATAGTATGTTGTCGCTTCGTCTGGTGTGATTACACACTGGTTATACACTGAAAAAAAAGTTCTTTTCCACTCAGATTGTAAAATATTTTTATCCAAGTTTTTTTATATCCAATATACGTTTCTTAATATAAAAAAACTGGTATTTTTTGGTTGTTTGCATTAATGAAAAGTTGTGCTGACTTATAATTTATTGAAAAATTATCTAGCTGTGTTGCAATTGATATCAAAATTTGGATGGATCCTTGGGTAGAGTAAAAGTTGCTCGAATTGGATTTACGTAATTAAAAATTCCATTTTTTCAACGATTTAATTAATAATTTATTTAATTTTTTTTTTTAATTGAATTATTATGATTAATTAAGTTTTTTTAAATTTAATTATAACTAATTTGATTTTTTTTTAATTAAATTATAATTAATATATTAATTATAATAAAGAAGATCCACAGTATTATAAACACATCATTTGCATCAGTGTCAATCTGTGTCAAAAATTTTGGAATTCTCCACACAGGAATACCAGTTTCTGTACTAGAGGGAAAAATTTCCTGAGTGGAAAAAAACTTTTTTTTTTCAGTATAGATTTACCGTTCACTGTACTTCAATCTATAAAAATTATATTTAGAATTTATTGTGGATGATCAAATATTTTTTTTAATTAAGGTTCATAAAAAATAGAATAATTTAGAGCAAAAAAGTTTTAAAAAACTGCAATTTTTTTATTAAAAAAATTTGTGTAAAATAAAGATTAAAAAATAAAAAAAAATGCAATTTTTCTTTTATGTTTTTGTACGTATGATACAGAAAAAAAATACGGCAAATAGTTAAAATTATGTGGATATATAATTCCATTAACAATATCGGTCAACATCAATTTTTTTTTTTAACATTAGGAGCTTTATATTTTATAACTAATTAAAAAATGTATTTTTACAAATTTTCGAAAATCCGCCGTAAAATATAATAATCTTGAAAAATAGATTTTTCAAATTGTTATTTTTTTTTGTCACAAAATCAGGCGACTGTAAAACTAAAAAATTACCAAAATTAATTTCAAATTCTATTTATGATAAAGTTTAATTTTTAAAATATGTGTTTATTTACGTATTCTTATAAAACCGTGATTACCAATAATTTTTTTCATTTATAAAAAATTACGGTACTGAAATTGGCTAATTTTTTTAAATAATTAAAACAGAAGAAATTATTAAAAACTATTGCTAGATACTAAAAAAAATTTTTAAATAAAGAAAAAAGTACAAACATAAACACATATATAGACAGCTCATATGTACTTTGAAAAATAACGGACCCATATGCATAGAAAACGAATATGACTTATGACGCATGCATTCTTTCGTATTATAGAATCGAAAACTGAAATTTTATTTATTATTCCTATTCAATGATTGAATCTATTCAAGAATATGAACTAAATAACGAGAACACTTGGTTCATTTCTTCAACAAAAGAAAGTTTCGAAAAAAATAAACCCATTTTATACTTCAAATGAAAATATTTGACTAAAAATGGTTTTATGTTATCAAGAATCCGAAAACGAATGATTAAGTATGTCAAGAATTTTTCACAGCATAAAAATCATCATTATTTTACAAAGAAAAGAAAATTAAATTAATAATACTTTGAAATAGTGTCATATATTTAATAACATAGATTTTAATTATTTTAATTGCAGAGCTCGGGCTATGAACACACAAATAGGCAAAGAAGAGTACAGTCCGTACTTCAAACTAGAGGTGATTGGAGATCCGAGTATTGAAGTCGCACCTTCGATTATTATCGCTCCAAATGATACACAGATAGTTAGAGATCAACCAGTCACTTATCTCGACTGTATTGCAAACGCTAGGTACGTATCAATTTCAATTTATATCAAATCATAATCAATATAAAATATTTGCCAAAAAGTTTAAAAGGCTTAAATTTACAGCAGGAAGAGACTATTGCTTGTCTGTTTCCAAAGAAATCCTGTTGAATTATCGACAGCTGTTTGGCTCAAGGCTAGAATTTTTAGATGTGATGAACGGCGATAACTTGCATTTACCGAGATCGGATTGCAATGTTTTTGAGCAATTATTTTTAATTCGTGTACGAAATTCCTTGCCAGCCAAGCTTACAGCGATTGATAATTTAACCGAGTTTTGTAGTGTTTGTTTCACTTATTTAATGGAAAATACTGACTGATTTTTTCACTACTGTTAGTTGCATATCTAAAGAAAAAATTTACTTTAAAAAAATGAGCAATGTTGTAATAAAAAATCAATTTGTGGAAAATTTTAAATAATTTTATTTCTTAGCTGAATAAATAAAAATTTTTTTCACCGTAGGTAACTTACATGTTGAAAAAAAATTTTTTTTGATTTGAAAAAAAAAAAATTAATTAGAAAACTTACGAATTTTAATTCAAAATTGTTTTTTTCCAAATCTAGATAATTGTTTTTAACAAGAAAGTTACTATGAGAAAAATTTTTGGTAATTATTTACTTGTGTGGGGTCACCTGGAGTCAATCCCAAAAATTTTTATTTTATCTTTTTTTGATGTTTTTGATATATTTTATTTTGGAAAGTACATAAAAAAAAAAATTGATTAATTTGATGAAAAAAAAAGTTACATGAGCTAGCTAGCATAGGTTGACCCCACTTATAAATAATTACCAAATTTTTTTCACAATAGCTTGTTTGAAAAAAAAATTTTTTTGATTTGAGAAAAAACAATTTTAGATAGACAACTCGCAAATTTTAATTCAAAATTAAAAAAGTTACAATGAGAAAAATTTTTATTTCCTCAGCTAAGAAATAAAATTGTTTAAAATTTTCAAAAAAATTAATTTTTTATTACAACATTGCTAATTCAAAAAAAAATTTTTTTTCTTTCAGGGGATGTAGCTTAATTTTTGTTCTGCTCATTATTTACATTTCATTCATGAAATTTTATATTAAATTCTTTACTGTCTACATTTAGTATCATTACATTTGTCTATCATCCCAACCAATTTACAAGCTGTTGATTACTTCTTCACTCAAATGATAATAAATGAATTTTTTATTGAAGATCATTGCACGAGCTCAGAATCCTCTGGACAAAAGACGGCGTACCAATTGAAAATGCCCGTATCTCATACAGCTTCAATGACTTGTGGAACAGAACCCTGGAACTTATTTCAGCTAATCTAACGTATACTGGAGTCTACACGTGTCATGTAACGCTCCGCAGTGGAGGATATCCGATGATTAATGCCAGTGCCAGAGTTGACGTCTTCGAAAAACCTACATTTGCCAACGAATTTAAACGGGAGACACACGGTGACTATGGATCCGCTGTTACGATTCCTTGCGAAGTTGTTGGCGTTCCTATGCCTAAGATTAGTTGGTACCACAATGCTGAGCCAGTTGATCCTTTCATTGGAACTAAGTAAGTCTTACATCTCTTTAACCATTAAATTATCTAATTAAATTTATTTTTATTGAAAATTTTTAAGGTTTGATGTCAAAGAAGATGGTTCGTTGGTTATCAATCGCCTAACAATGGATTATGCAGGAATGTTTCAATGTCTGGCGTCAAACGATGCGGGTGAATCTTCTAGTTACACTTGGCTAAAAGTCAAGAGTTAGTATTTAATTTTATTATCTTTTTACTTTAATTTTAATAATCAATTAATTAAATAAAGTTAATTAGTTGCTAAAAGTAACGCGTAATTTATACGACTGATATGTGTATTTTTGTATGTAATCGGCTAAACAGCAAGCAAATCCGGAATGAACTTTGTGAAGAGAGTGCCCCGATGGGCTGCAGGCTACCGAGTAGTCAGGGTACGACAGTCCGACCGGCGCTTTGAATTCACTCATTACCCAGAGAGTAAGATTTAAAATACGAAGATGATAAAAAAATCAATGGCATACTCGATTCAACGAGAGATAAAGCTTTTGTTTTTTTTTACTTAGTTGCGACACGTTCTGTAGATAATCAACAGCAACAAACATTTTTTTTTTTATTTTTTTAGTTTGTTCTATATATTTATAATCACTAGGCACAGCTTGACGTGCAACACCTTTTTTTTATCATTGCTTGTTTACATTTTCATTTTATCCAACTCATTATCACTTGTGTTGTGTGCATTGTCATCGAAATCACTATGTTCCAATTCCTTAATCCATTTTTTTTATAAATTATTAAGTAGTTTCGAGTCAAGGAATGCTGAGTCGTGATATTAGATGCCGATTTTTTTTACAAGGAATTTATGGGACGCATCTGTTTTTCATTTTTTATTTCAATCAATTAAATACACTTTAGATATTCACGCATGAGATTGACAAGTTAAATTTTTTATTGAATTTAATTTTTTTGTTTTTTTCAATTGCAGCTTCGACCCCAATTATGGAGACTGGTCCAAAGAATATAACTGTTTTGGATGGTAAAGATGTGACAATTGTCTGCAGAGCTGTTGGCGCGCCGATTCCTAATACAACTTGGATTTTTAATGGTAAAATATTTTAATTATTTAAAAAGATCTTATAGATTAATTTAAATTGGCCAAAAAAATTCAAAGGTCATAAAGTTATTTTTATATAATAATTAACTAGCAACCTTGCAGTCACATAGTGACTTGTGAACTATAAATAAATAAAATTTTACTTTATTAAATAATGACTTTTGTTGAATTGCACTGTACTTTTTTAACGATTGACGTTTTCAAAGATATAAGCTCATCCTGATGTTACACTCATCAAGAGCTTTCATTTGAGTACCCACATGTATTTTGATATATTTTTTATATATACATATATATTAGGGTGACGCAAAAAAACCGACTATTTTTTATTTTTATAACCTCGAGTGAAAAAATGTTAGTTTTTGATGTTTTAAGAGCTCTCTCCAAAGGACAGCTTAAAAAAAAAATTTTAAGAGGTCATTCCAAATTTTTTTTAATTTCAAAAATCGAATTTTTTTTTTTTTAATTTTTTTTTTTCGTCACGTCATAATTTTATAGACAAAAAAAAAGGTTTTCCTGAAAGTTTCAGTGCAAAATGTGAATTTTAAAAGGTCGCTCATAATTTTTTTTTTAAATTTATTAGTGACTATTTAATTGGATTAGCATTTTTTGACTCTGAAATTTAAAAAAATTTGGAGCGACCTCTTAAAAATTTTTTTTTTGAGCTGTTCTTTGGAGAGGGCTCTTAAAAAATCAAAAACTGACATTTTTTCACTCGGGACTGAAAAAAAAAAATAGTCGGTTTTTTTGCGCCACCCTAATATATATAAATATATGAAAAAAATATGAAAAATTGATGTGGGTACTCAAATGAAAGGTTTTAAATTAATTACTGTAATAAATAGTTATTTTTCTGGGTATAGTAATTAATATACTAAAATTTCATATAAAAAATATCTCATAAATTAATTTGAATACAATAAAAATTGTTCAAATATTAATTCTAAAAAAATGTTAACAATAGAATGTTTAAATAATTAAAATAAATTATTTTCAGATACAATACCAGTGGAAATAGCCGGCCGTGTCCAACTGCTCGATACAGGGGACCTTTCAATCTTAGCAGTGAACGTGAATGACGCAGGAAAGTATACTTGTATACGTTCAAACGATGCGGGCTCGGTCAATGGCTCAGGTTATCTGTCAGTTCACGTTCGAACCCAAATCATCCGACCTCCGAGCGACACATCAGTACTTTTGGGACACACAGCAAAGCTTGAATGCAAAGTCTCCAACGACCCAAGTGTCCCGTATGACATCGACTGGTTCTACAACTCCCAGTTGATAAATCGAGCTAGCTCTCGCATAAAAATGCGACATGACGGGACTTTGGAGATCGGCGCAGTCCGTGCATCTGACGTCGGTGATTACACCTGTTCTGTGCTGTCTCCAGGTGGTAATGAGACACGCAGTGCAAGGCTGAGTGTAATTGAGCTTCCCTTCGCTCCAATGAAGGTAGTTGCCGAACGCATGGAGAGTATTTCCCCGCGTTCTGTCAACGTTACTTGGGTGCCAGGATTTGACGGCAACAGTCAAATAAAAAAATTTGTAGTTGAACGCCGAGTGGTACCAGAAACTGGACCCATAGCCGATTCACTGTCAAACTGGGTCGTGGAGAATGACAATGTGTCCTCTCAAGTTCGCTGGTGTCTTCTGGAAGAGTTAAAAGCGGCTGCTGCTTATCAATTTCGGGTTACAGCTGTCAATCTCGTTGGCGAGGGACCTCCTTCTGAGCCGAGTAACGTTGTCATTCTTCCTCAAGAACCGCCATCAGGACCACCCGTTGGATTCGTCGGGTCAGCTAGATCTGACTCTGAAATTATCACTCAGTGGCAGCCGCCGTTAGACGAGCACTGCAATGGCCACATCCTCGGTTACATTTTAAGGTACCGCCTTCACGGTTACTACAATCAGAGTCCCTGGATAATTCAAAACATCACCAATGAAGCTCAAAAAAATTATTTGCTGTCTGATTTAATCACCTGGAAGGATTATCTTGTACAAGTTGCTGCGTACAATGACAAAGGCGTCGGAGTATTTACAGAGGGATTGATCATCAAGACTAAAGAAGGAGTTCCTGAAGCTCCACCGACCAATGTTAAAGTTAAAGCGATAAATTCAACGGCAGTCCAAGTCTGGTGGAAACCTCCAAATCCCCAAAAAATAAATGGTATTAATCAAGGGTACAAATTACAAGCTTGGACGGGAGGAAATTTTAGCGAAGAAAATGAATTCAAAGCCATGAAAGTACCACCGAGTCTTTTCGATCCGCTTGCTGAGCAATCGGCTATCATAAGCGGGTTAAAAAAGTACGCGCTGTACAACATCACGGTTCTCTGCTTCACCGATCCGGGTGATGGTCAGCGAAGCAACCCAATCGAAGTGAGAACCAGCGAAGATGTTCCGAACGAAGTTGAGCATCTTCAATTCGATGATATCAGCGATCGCGCATTGACTGTAAAATGGAGCCCGCCGAGTGAAATAAACGGAGTGCTAACGAATTATCAGCTAAAATATATGATAAAAGACTTACCGGAGTCAATGCGAGTTTTGAATTTCACTTCAGATGTCTTGTCGAGTAAAGTAGAGCAACTTCAACCAACTACGCATTACAAATTTGAGGTAATCGCCTGGACATCAAAAGGCCCGGGAAAGCCGCGAGTTGCTACAATTCAATCAGGCGTTGAGCCAGTTCTTCCAGAACCACCGTCAAAATTAGCTCTGTCTAACATCGATGCGTTTTCAGTGGTTCTCCAGTTCACACCAGGCTTCGACGGTAATTCCTCTATCATCAAGTGGACCGTTGAAGCGCAAACAAAACGTAATACTACTTGGTACAATATTTATGAAGTATCCGATCCGGATGCCAGCACAATTACTGTCAGTGGACTGACTCCATTCATGCAGTACAAACTGCGTTTGATTGCCAACAATGTCGTAGGTGCTTCTAAGCCTTCTGAGCCAACAAAAGAATTCCAAACTATCCAAGCTCCACCTTCGCATCCACCTATGAATGTCACTGTTCGCGCGATGAGCGCTACTGAATTACGCGTACGCTGGATTCCCCTTCAGCAGTTAGAGTGGTACGGCAATCCACGAGGTTACAATGTAACTTATACCGAAGTACGGACCAACAAATCTCAGAGTATCACTATTGACGACCACACTGCCAATTCCTACGTTCTGGAAAACATGGAAGAGTTTGCGCTCTACGAAATTGTAATGCAGGCATTCAATGATGTCGGATTTTCTTTACCGAGTCCAAAAGCAATCGAGAGAACTCGCGAGTCTGTTCCGTCAGTGGGACCATCAAACGTCGAAGCTAACGCAACTTCCTCGACGACAATTCTCGTTAAGTGGGGCGAAGTCCCAGTGGAGCATCAGAATGGACAAATCGAGGGCTACAAAGTTTACTACAGCGCAAATGGACGCTCTTCATTTCAATTTAGAAACATTCCGAAGAACACGACGTTCACCACGACTCTGACTGAGCTGAAAAAATTCGTCCAGTATCATATTCACGTGCTAGCTTACACGCGACTTGGCGACGGAGCTCTCAGTACTCCGCCAGTTCGAGTTCAGACTTTTGAAGACGTTCCTGGACCTCCGTCTAATGTTTCTCTGCCTGATGTGAGTTTCTCCAGCGCTCGGATCATCTGGGACACTCCTGAAGATCCCAATGGCGAGATTTTAGGCTACAAGGTCATGTACTACTTGAATAACAGCCAAGAAAGACAATTTTCCAAGGAAGTTGAGGCTGAAGCACGAACTTTCACTGCGACTGGTCTGGAGTCAGAAAAGCACTACATGTTCTCAGTTACAGCTCAGACAAAACTGGGCTGGGGAAAGACTGCGTTCGCCCTGGTGCTGACGACAAATAACCGCGAGAGACCACAACCTCCGTCGACGCCGCAGATCAGCAGGTCTCAGGTACAGAGCAGGCAGATAACATTCGCTTGGACACCTGGAACTGATGGATCAGCGCCTCTGCGTTATTACACCGTCCAGAAGTCTGAGAATGCTGGAGCTTTTCAAGTTATTCCCGAGCGAGTTGACCCGTCTCTCACGTCCTACACTGTGAATAATTTAAAACCATTTACGTTTTACCAGTTCCGGATCCAAGCGACGAATGACATCGGCCCGTCGGAGTGGAGTGACGAGTCTGCTCAAGTTCAAACTCTTCCTGCGGCTCCTTCGCGGGGAGTAACTGGGCTGAAAGTCGTTCCAATTACCACGACGAGCATCGAAGTTCACTGGGACATGATCGAGGAGGTCCACTGGAGTGGAGATCACAACACCGGAGGCTACCGAGTTGTTTATCAGCCGGTTTCAGACTTTCCGACCGCGCTTGAAGCTACTCCGAAGCAAGAAATTCATGGGATCAATCAAACTAAAATGATTTTGAGCGATTTGATGGAGGACAAAAATTATGAAATTGTTGTGCTGCCGTTCAATTCCGAAGGAGACGGCCCGCCAAGTCCGCCGGTCACTGTCTACGTCGGAGAAGCTGTACCCACTGGGGAACCTCAGGATCTGATTGCTGAGCCGATTTCCTCGACGGAAGTGTTTCTGAAATGGAAACCACCGCAAGCTAACATGCAGAATGGTGACTTACTTGGGTACAAAATTTTTTACTTGGTCACAGACTCGCCGCAGGTGCTGGAGAAGAAACAAGAAGAAGAAATCGAGGTCGTACCTGCTACTTCGCTTCAGCACAGTCTTGTTTTTCTTGACAAGTACACTGAATACAGAGTACAAGTTCTAGCTTTTAATCCTGCGGGTGATGGTCCGCGCTCGCCGCCTATTACTGTTCGAACGAAACAAGACCTACCAGGACCACCCAGCAATCTTCATTTCACTGAAATCACTATGACGAGTATGCGTGTGACTTGGGATCCGCCGAAACTTCGCAATGGAGAAATTGTCGGTTATGTGGTTACTTATGAAACTGCTGAACAAAATGACAAGTTTAGCAAGCAAGTTAAGCAAAAAGTCACGGAAACTAGTCTTCTGGTTCAGCCGCTTGAAGAAGAAGTTACTTACACGTTTATGGTACGTGCTCTGACGATTGATTTTGGCCCTCCTGTGTCAGGCAATATTACCACTGGTCCCCAAGAAGGCTCTCCAATGGTCCCCACAGCTCTTACTGTCAGTAAAACTGTCTCCAGTGTCGAGTTGAAATGGAAAAATGGCGCTTCTGGAAAAGGACCTATTCTGGGGTACTACATTGAAATCCGTAGAAAAGGTAATATTATAATTGTTTATTATTTATTGTTTATTTTATTCCAATAAATTTATTTAGATTTAAATTGCTGGGTAAAATTAATGATCTATATCATTGTGAGAATAAGGAAAATTTTGTCTTTAGAGTATTTATATGATAAAATGAATTTTTTAAATTAAATTTAGTATCATTGGAAAGGTTTTGAGTTGAATTTGTGCTTTTTCAATGTTTCATATGCTTTTTAACTATAATTAATTTATTATGATAAATTTTCAAAGTAGTTATATAAATAGATTCGAATTTCGAGATAAATGTTAATTGTATATTTATTTATTTTGTTTTGTTCATGTCAATATGGTTAAAAGTCTAAAATTAATTTATATAATTAAATTGAGACTAAGAAAGATTTTGGGTTAATATTTACAAGTGGGGTCAACCATTTTAATTATCACTTTTTTTAACGAAATTTCTATTTGATTTTATTGATATATTTTTTTTTTAAGTACATAAAAAAATGAACAATTAAAAAAAAAAAAAAGTTGAATATTACAATTTTCTAAAAAATATAAGTGTTCAAAAAAAATTTTCTTAAGCTTTTTAAAGTTACAACTAATACCAATCAAGGTAAAAATAATTATTTTGTTTCAATAAGTATTTTTGGTAGTCTAATTTTCTAGACAAACAAAATTAAAAGGTAAATATTTATACAAGTGGAGTCAACCATTTTAATTTTCATTTTTTTGAATGAAATTTCTATTTTATTTTATTGATATATTTTTTTTTTTTTGAAAAATACATAATAAAATTAACAATTTAAAAAAAATTGATTATCACAATTTTAAGAAATTTTCTAAATTTCTAAATTTTTTAGAAAATTGTGCTATTCAACTTTTTTTTTTTAAGTTGCTCGTTTTTTTATGTACTTTAAAAAAAAAAAAAATATATCAAAAAAAGATAAAATAGAAATTTTATTCAAAAATATGAGCCAAAATTTTTTCCAGCTTTTGAAGGCAAAAAAGCTATCAAAATCTTTATTTTTTTCTTTCACGACATTTTTTATCATAAATGCGCCGTAAAAACAAGTAGAATAAAAAAAAAAAATTGAAAATGTTAATTTTTCACTTAGTTATGGCTCAAAATGGGATTGACCCCACTTGTAAATAATTACCAGATTTTGTAACGGGTATATCTTTATCGTAAATTGGTTTTGATATTTTTCAGCGATAGTTATTTATGATTTAAATAATTGAGATAGTAAGGAAGACTTTGTGACGAGCATATCAATATTTTGAAAGGAATTTTTACAGTTAAATTTGGTATCATCAGAAAGATCTTGACAAGAATTAGTGCCTTTTGGTTTGATAAATTTTTTATTAGTCAATTTTTTATGTCAAGTTTTTGGAGGAGTTTTTAATAGTTTTTCAGTTCTATAAATTTGTTTCGTCATATTTGTCCATCGAATTATTTGTAATTGATCCTAAGATACCACTATTATTTTTAAAATTTATTTAAACAGTACCTAAACTATCTACAGTATGACTATAAATATCAAAAAATCAAGTCAAAGTTTTCCTATTTATAATCCATAAATCTAAGCAGCCGCATAGTGATTGCAAGTTGCTAGATTTTAATTATTGAAATTTTTTTCTATGAAAATTTTTAAAAAACAAATAATCTAAATAATATTTTATTGGAATAAAATATTTATAAATATTATTTAAAAAAAAATAGAGGATTATGTCATATCCTCATGTGGTTATTTTTTTTGAGACAGCCAAGGAAGATTGGCAGCATTGTAAGTTTATCAAAAAATACCCCGATTGGATTTAATTTTTTTTTTTTTGAATAAATAAAAAATAATTTATTAGGAGTGCATGAATTTTTCATGAAAAAAAATGACTCCCTTGTATTAACCAATTTATTTTAATTAAATTAGTTTTAGAGTGTGAGGTAGTTTGTAATTTAATCCAGTACTTGTTGAAATTTGGTCATCTATTTTTGAAATAATTTGAATTAACAATTAAAATTCTGACATTATTAATAATGAATTTTTTATTTATCAGATGACTCTCGGTGGCAGACAATAGGAAAGAGCGACAATGGACCGCTAGACGACTACACGATATCGTACCAAAATCTTTTACCTTCAACAGCGTATCTCTTCCGAGTAATCTCTTACAACCGCTACGGTATCAGTTATCCCGCTTACTCAACAGAAACAATCTTGACACCTTCAAAACTGTATCTCGAGTACGCATACCTTCAGCATCGACCGTTCTACCGGCAGACGTGGTTCATGGTGACACTCGCGGCCACGTCTGTCGTAATTATTATCATGGTGGTGGCGATATTGTGTGTCAAGAGCAAAAGCTATAAGTACAAACAGGAAGCGCAAAAAACTTTGGAAGAGTCAATGGCAATGGATATTGATGACCGTCAAGAGTCTGATCTTTCGCTTTACCGCACACGTCCTTCCGGTGGTGCTTTAAGTATTGGAAATGGCTGTGGGACTTTGGGTAAACGTGGTACTATTGCCAGGAAGTCAATGCACCCACCACCACCACCTTTACACGGTAAATCCCCGCCAAGGCCTTCTCCGGCTTCCGTTGCTTATCATAGTGACGAAGAAAGTCTTAAAGGATATGATGAGAATCCTGATGATAGCAGCGTTACGGAAAAACCTTCTGAAATTAGTTCAACAGACTCTCAAGTAAATTTTTTTTATTTATAAAACATGATACTGAAATCAGCAGATAGATGATTATTTTTTTTTTTTTATTAATAAATTAGTGGTACATTCATTTTTAGTAGATTTTATAGGAATCTAACTATTGCATTCGTCCTATTAATGCAACTAAAAAATTTGGTAAATATTTACAAGTGGGGTCAACCATATTAATTTTCATTTTTTTGAACGAAATTTCTATTTGATTTTTTTTTAAATACATAAAAAAATGAACAATTAAAAAAAAAATTGATTATCACAATTTTAACAAATTTTCAAAAGAATTTATGAATTTTTTAGAAAATTGTGATATTCCACTTTTGAAAAAAATTTTTTTTTATGTATTTTTCAAAAAAAATATCAATAAACGATAAAATAAAAATTTTATCCAAAAACATGAGAGCCAAAATTTTTTCCAACTTTTAAAGGCAAAAAAGCAATCGAAATCTTTTTTTTTTCCTTTCACGACATTTTTTATCATAAATGCGCCGTAAAAACAAACAAAATAAAAAAAAAAATTTTAAATGTTAATTTTTCACCTATTTATGATGAATAACTTGTAAATAATTACCAAAAATTTTGCTATTTTTTGATTCAGCTAAGCTGGTCAGTTAATTTAGAAATTACAGCAATTTAAAATTTTCAAAAATTTTAACTTTTTACTGTCTCTCCCTGCAATAACTTTTGAATGCGACAAGTTACTAAATTGCTGTAAATTTTATCTGAAAGCTCATTAAATCAGCTTTAATTTATATAGCTATATATTTTCCTAGATCAATAAGTTTAACAATTACAGCAATTTAAGAGTTTCAAACTTTGGGAAAATTGTCAGTTTTTTTTTTTTTGTTATTGGCGCAATTACTATTGAATTGAACAAGTTATTAAATTCCTATAAACAACATCTGAAAGCTTATTAAATAGGCTCTCATTTATCTATCTATATACACTGCCGACAGAAAGTTTCTGGACAAGATGAAAATTTATTAAAAGTAAAATAAATCAAGAGGAAATCCAAAGACAGGATTGTACGCACTTTGTAAAATAACATAGCATTTTCGATATAGATCAAGTTAATATAATGTGGTTTATGTTTCATATTTCAATTGAAAAGAATTTTAATTTAAAATAAAAAATAAAAAATTTCACATTTTTCGGTCTATTTAATCAAATTTTTCTTTTGTATTCGTTTTTACAGTTTTTTAAGTAAATTTATTCATGTACTTTCTCAATTGCTATGCCTTAGTCTTCTTAATACATATATATTTTTTTGCAATAGTTAATTTTGAAAAAATTATCAATTTGTTAATTTCAGTATCATAAAATAATTAATAGTAAATTTTTTAGAATTTTTGTAATAAATAAATTTTTAATTATTTTTCAGGGTTCAGAGAGTGAAAATGAAAGTGTTCAATCAGATCCACATTCATTTGTAAACCATTACGCAAATGTCAATGATTCATTACGACAATCATGGAAAAGACAAAAACCAGTGCGAAATTATTCATCGTATACTGACTCAGAACCAGAAGGTAGTGCTGTCGTAAGTTTAAACGGCGGTCAAATAATAATGAACAATATGGCACGATCAAGAGCACCGCTGCCTGGTTTCTCGTCATTCGTTTAATTAAGCAACGGCTTAAAAGAAATCAATTTATTAAATGGAGATATAAATTGTCGATTATTTTATCGGCACTATTGTGATATATACATTGTTAGATTATTAAAATGTTTTTAATAATATTTATACGTGCGGTTATTAAATCGATCTCGATAACGAGGATTCAGCATTATTAATGCTTTAGATAGAACTTTTTTTATAATTATTAATAACGAAATATTACTATTATTACTATTCAATTATTGAATAAAATAATGAAGCTTTATTATTGTATGTATGTAAACATAGACAAGACATATGTCACTTTCATATCACTTATTAAGAATAATTAGATCACCGATCTCTAATCATCAAATACATACTCGTGCCACTTAATCTGCCGTGATTAAATAATTAATAGAATAATTTAAAAAAAAAAAAATAAACAAACGAAAGAACATTTGTCAAAATGATTTTAATCTTCAAGATTGTACTTTAGATTACAAAATAATTTGTAAATGAGTGCTTTTTTTATACTCCGTGTACTTTTCTATATTGTCATATCATTTTTTTAAATGAATTTACTGATAATAATTAGTGTAGTAATTAAAGAAAAATATTAGGCGATTGAAAGATTAGTATGCGATGAAGTGAATGTTAGTAACAAGTTATTAATTAATTTTTTATAATAAGTGTAAATATGCAATATTAATCGACTGAATTTAATACTTTCTATTTTTTTTTCTTAAATAATAATTGCCAACAATTATCGGCAGCTAAATTATAAACTAGTATTTGTGTTTTTTCTTTTTTGTTTTTAAAACTGTAATAACAATCAAGTTTATTACTAAAAGGCTGATTTTTATCTTTTTATATTCTTATTAATGCTTTTACAAAGCATTCAAACTATTATTATTACTATTTAGAGTGATAAATTAAGGAATGCCTGATAATGATCGCGGTGACTTAAAAAATATACAAACACTGCCCAAGTATTTAGTTCAAATGTATTTTATGATTTATTTATATTTTATAGAACTTAAAAATGCCTTATAAGTTTATATATAAATAAATAAAAGTTAAAAAAATTAAATAAGTAAATAAATGCTATAAATAAAAAATGTAATTTTTTTTATTCCTGAGTATTCTTTTGAGGGTTGAAAAATATAACTAATGAATTTTAAAATGTATCATTAAAATCAACTTACTCAAAAAATAACGAAAAATTTGTTTAAATAAATTCAATGATAATAAATTACATTGTAATTTATTGTTAGAAAATTTTAATTACAAAAAATTATTTCAGTTATTATAAAAATGTACCCTCACATTTTTTGTACCAACTAGTGAGATTGGAAGGTAATTTTTGAAGAGAAGATTGTTTGACAGCAGACCAAACAGCGATGTCAGCAATATTAAATAAACTTTTACTTGAAAACCACTGATGGGCTCCCAGTAATTTGTCCAGAATGTTTAAAGTAGTTTGTTTGTCTTTTGGCGAGTTTTGGTGCGTCAATTCATAGGCTAAGTCGAGTATCTTGTCAATTTTAAGCGTTTCAGCGACAGATTGAGTCTTCTCGTAACTCTCATTGTCAATTAGTCGCACTAAGTAACGCAGGATATTTGTTTCTCCCAACACAATCTGGCTATTGAACCCAGAGACAATCAATTGGGTGTCTTGCACTGTAAAAATTAATTATTATGATCACGAAATTCAATAAAACCTTTAGATTAAAGAATTACACTGAATTTAGCAGACACGACAATTTTTTAATTTTTCTTTAAAATAAATTAGGTAAAGAAAATTATTTATAAAAAATTGCATTTATAACTGCTGAAAACAATTAAATCAACAAAAAGCTAAGTGGTGTATGGACCATATGACAGAATTGTAAACCTTGTGAACAAGCTAAATGATGAAGTGAAATTATACGGTGGCACATTCAGTGCATTTATGTCAAATATCAAAAAAACAATTGCTCATTTATGTATAAATTACAGAATTTTTTTCTCGCTTTTTTCATTAATTAAATTCTAATTAATTTTTCTCTTAAATTAATGTTATTTAATTTTAAATACTTTCTATTGATGTATATTGCCGATAGGCGTATGTTATTAAGGGGCACACCTAGTGTGAAATTAAAAAAAAATCGATTTTTTTTTATTTATATTTTGATAGGTTGTACCTTTAAAAATAACATACTAAAATTTTTAATCGATATCTCAAATAGTTTTCGAGTTACAGCCATTTCTAGAGTAGCCGCTCAGCAGTTAGAATAGGATAATTTTATCTTTAAACGCGTTTTTCTCGAAACAGCATTTTTCGAATTTGCTGCAGTGATTACTCGAAGACAAATGATCCGATCACTGTCAAATTTTTTTCTGCATGTTCTGTAAATAGTTATCCATACAATGACCTATCAGTTTTTTGATCTGATCAAAAATCGAATTTTGGCAGGCCAAAAACGACCAAAATTTTAGGTAAAATTCAACTTTTTTTTTTTTTTTTGTTTCATCCACGAAGACTTTTTTTTAAGCGCCGTCAGAAATCACGTGTAACTCGAAAAAAATTTAATTTTTTTCTTCAAAAATTTTACTGTGTATTCTTAAAATATGTATAAATATACCCTTAAAATTTTAAAACAATTGATACAGTAATTTTTTTTTTCAATTCCCAAAAATCGCCTTTTTTTAGGCTGTCAAACTAGGTGTGCCCCTCAATAAATAAATAAATAAATAATTTTTTTAGAGCTTCTATAGATGAAATTTTTCACTGAATTTTCCTATCTATAATCAAATTGTTAAAAAAATTGTAAAAATTCAGTATCATGATTAAAGATTAAAAAAAAATTTACCGTCTCTCCATATCACTGATACATCTATCACGCTGTCTTTTTCGCTTGGCTTACTCTTTTCAAACCCTGCCGGAGTTTCAGAAAATATACTACAATGATGATGAGGTGATATCCGCAGGTCAACGTCATCCCAGAGCTTTTTGACAGCTATCAAAGAATAACAAGGTTTTTTTGGATTAACATTTATCACCAAATTTCCTGTAACCGGTGTCTGAAAAATAAATAAAATTAAATATACCAGCTTAGATTAATTTGTGGTGAAAAATTATTTAACCTACCCTATTAGTTCTTTTGGTTTGCTGTGCTTTAGTGTCAGTATTATTTTTAAGAACATTGCACAAATTTAAAACTTGCTCTTTAAGTTCAGCTAATTGAGCTAGAATATTTTCCTGTCTCACTTCCAATGCTTTTACTTCAGCCAACGGAACCTGAAAAAAAAAATAAACATAAATTATTACATATGAGAATTATTGAATTAACCATAAAAAATAATAAATATTTAAAGAAATTTTGGTTAAACCGGTAAACAAAGTTGACATATTTATATATCACTCGTATCTCAATTATTATTATCTGTCAGTCGTTCCAGGTAATGATTTATAAAATAACCTCATAATTAATAAGTTTATTTAGGTTTTACTTGTTTTTTTGAATAATCTATATAAATACTTGTACAGGAAATGAAAAATCTGGTGGGGTGTAATGGAAGAGACACATCGATCAAGCCAACAGTGAGAACCATATTCTCTCTACTCGGATCGAGTGATTAGTGACCGTTTAAATTTCGGGAAGAGTTCACGCCAACGTCGTCGTTGAACCTAAATATCTTTTGCGGGATTTAACAAACATTTACAACGCCATGGATCTACCACGTGTAAGTATTATTACAATAACACTATCCCCCTTGATCATCATCACCAATAACAAATCTAAAATCCTTAAAAACGACAATTATTTATACAAATAAGTACCTTTGTAATGTTAACAAATTCATCAGTAACCTCAGAGACAATTGTGCACTTATGTTTCGATGAGTCGCCATCGTCATGAATATTTTTCATCTCGTACATGCATAACGCTCGTTCAATTACTGTGTTATGATTTATTATTGCTTTCATTTCATACATAATCGTCATTTTTTTATTATTTACGTTTTATTAAACACTTGTACTAATTAATAATTACCACATATATTTTTATAAACTTTTTTTTTAATTACGGCAATGAATTTTTTTTTAACAGTTTTCGAATTTTTCAATTTTTCACCGCAGCCATATTTTATTTTACATGTGCGAAAATCCCCACTAAGTTTCAATATGGCTGGTTATTAAACTTATTGTCAATTGAAATAATTTTTATCACTATTTGACACTTAAAAAATTTTCAAAATAATTTTTTTATTAATTAATCATTTTTTTTTTAATCATTAGAAAATTTTTATTTACTTTCAGACTTTTATTTGACACTTTGACTTTGGAGCTGTCAAAAAAAAAAAATGGCGGATTACTACGTAATTCGAAATTTTTTTTAAATCATTGTTTTTTGATTGATTATTTCAATTATAATAACAATAATTACAGAAAAAAAATTTATTAATATCTCAGAAATTATTTATTTATTATTTTCTTTTAATTATTAAAAAAAAAAAAAATATTTTAAATTGAGCGGGAAAATTCCGGATGTAAATCATCAAAAATAAGATAATTTTTTTTTTCAACTTAAAATTTTTAACAGTTGTAATTAATTGAAATAATTATTAAAAAAAATTATAAATACTTAATTGACAGAAAATATTCAAAAAATAGTAAATAAATTATATATATTTATAATTATTAAAATAATCCGTCAGGTGGCAGTTTTCTTGATTGAAGGTGGAAAAAAATACATTCGTCAATATTACATGTTAATAACAAACAAATAGGCTCTGAAAAAAAAAAAAATAAATCGTGATTGATTAAAATAAATAATAATTAATAATAATAGTGTATGAATAAATGTTAAGTGTTATGTTAAAAGTAATAAAAATATTTTAATTGATATTATAAAATAAAGCAGTGGCCTCTTGCGAGGCTTGATGGTAACTAAGGTTAGACTGCGTTCTTTTCGCGGGTTAACAAGACAGTGCTACGCCTTTATTTCATCACAAAATAAATTAAATAGCTGTTAATAATAATATCAACAGTGTTACAAAACAATTAAAATTAGGTTGACAGGTAATAAGTCATAATAAAGTGACAGAAATAGGTGATAGGAAGTGTGGTTAGAAAAAAAAAAGGTGAACCAGTGTTGGTAAAAAAAAAATTTTTTTTTTTTTTCCAGTTGAAACGCCGGTGTCGCCGCCTGGAGTTGCATCTGGGAAAGTACTGGCGACCAAGTAGAAGTCGTCGAAGACGATTGGGCGACGCTTGTGCACTCGAATTGATCGATAAATAAAAATATCACAAGATTGGATGGATTTATCTCAATATAAATAATATCATATAAAATTATCAATATTTTTTGTTTGATTTAATTGGTAAAATTTTATAAAATTAATTTTATTGACAGTGTATCAGCCGGTAGATTAATTAGACGTATAAAATGGCGGTGTTATAATCAACCAATCAGGAGGGATTTTACAACTGCTGTTGGTGAAACTATATACTAAACTATAGCTTTGAGGGGCCTCAGTAAATGATTGTATATTGTATATTGAGCTTTCCCCTTACAGCTCAGGTTCCCTCGCGTCCTACCAAGCGTTCGCTCGTTAACTTGGTTTTTGTCTCGTCAAGCTACGCCAGCCTAAAGGCCAACCAACCAATACAACACACAAGTGAAATCAAGAGTGCGTTAGTGAGACGTTTTGTTGTTGATTTTTTTTGTTGCGCATCACACACCAACCGGTTGATGATTACTGATAAATAATTATTCAATATTTTAATATAATACTTTGAATATTTTATTAAATATTAACATTTTCACGGGACACCATGAAAATATTATATTTCATCACGTGACAGACACAAATGTGGAAAAAAATGGCGCTAAGATCAGAGTACAAATATGGGTTACAATTTATTATTATTACAATATCATCAATTGTATTTGTTTACAAACGCGGGATTTCATAAGCCACGTGTTAAGTGACATTTAATATTACTGTGACTTTTTTTTTTTTATTGTATATGGCTTTTTCTTTTAATTTAAATTTCAAATTTATTATTATTATTATTATTATTATTTGATTTCAAAAAATAAGTGTAATAATAATTAAAATATTTTATTATTTAAAGTGAGATTTAAAAATAATTCAAAATGTCGGGTCGAGGTACTGGTACCAAAAGACGAGGTCGACCACCCAAGTCGGTGGTGATGGAGCGTCCGAAAAAATTCCAAATGCAAAATTGTAAAAAACCTAAATATCTACAAAATAAGGGTACGGATACTCCAAGCTCTCAGCCAAGCACGCCGATACCATCACGTGCTAATTCACCGTTGGGCAGTGAGTCGAGCAAACGTAGTACGAGAAGCAGAAAACCACGAGGTGGAAAAGCCAGAAAAGGTGGACACGCTGGTCCATATTCAAGACGCGGTTACAACACTAATGTTGATTACCACGATTCGGAGTATCATTACGGCTCGGATTTCGGAGACGAATCCAGTGAAAAGAGTGAAGTCGAAGACGAGATACTGGCAAGCGATGTTGAATCCTCGGGATCAATCGAGGAACCAGATCCGTCCAGCGACAGTGATTTTTCATTGTCTGGTTTCAGCAATAACAGCGGTACTCCAAGAAAGTCTTTGCTCAGCCAACAAAGACCACCTAGTCCTGAGCCACTGTGGTTACAAAATCGTGAATTGCCACAACTGGAACTTCCCAAGTCATCAGAAGATTTATTACTGGCTAATGAATATATAATGCCTTGTTTGTCTATCTACGAAGTCTTGAGACATTTTCGTACGCTAGTACGCTTATCAATGTTTAGGTTTGAAGATTTTTGCTCGGCAATTAATTGTGAAGACCAAACTAATCTTTTAGCGGAGATTCATATCCAGTTGATAAAGGCGCTGTTAAGAGAAGAAGACTCACAGCAGACACATTTTGGTCCTTTGGATCAAAAAGACTCAGTAAATGTAACTCTGTACTTTGTAGATCCAATGACTTGGCCAGAAGTATTGAGATCTTACGTAGAAAGTGATAAAAATTTTGACCAGACTGTTTTACAAATTTTACAGACCACTGAATATCCATTTTCATCGATTGACAATCGTATTAAAGTATTGCAATTTCTTACAGATCAATTTTTAATAACAAATCCAGTACGGGAGGATTTAATTCACGAGGGTACAATGCATTACGATGACCATTGTCGTGTTTGTCATCGCCTTGGAGATTTACTGTGTTGCGAAACTTGTCCGGCTGTATTTCATTTGGAGTGTGTTGAACCACCACTGGTTGATGTACCCACGGAAGACTGGCAATGCAACATGTGCAAGGCACATAAAGTTACTGGTGTTGTTGACTGCATCCCAGACGTCGAGAAAAACGGGCTGCTGTGTCGTCAAGAGCACCTGGGTTTTGATAGACATGGTCGCAAATACTGGTTTTTAGCTCGGCGTATTTTTGTTGAAAGCGAAGACGGTAAAGTTTATTATTACAGTTCTCCATTGCAGTTTGAAGAGCTGATTAATTCTCTTGATAAAACGGAAATGGAAGTTGCATTATACCGTGAATTGTCAGATTATAAGGATGAAATAATTAAACAAATGGAATTAACTGAGACAATTACTAATCAATATAAAGGGAATAAAAAGTCGTACTTGGAGATGGAAAATGCAGCTATTTTGAGGAAACGAAAGGAGTTGAAGGAAAAAGAAGAAGAGGAAAAAAGAGCTAAAGAACGTGAAGAGTCTGGTGAAGTTGATAAAAAAAATGACGAAACTGAGACAACTGATGCTGGTAAAAATGAACGAAAAGACGAAATTGAAGATGTTAATAGTAATGAGAAAGCCAAGTCTAATTCACCGTCAGAAATGGGCGACGATGAAGAGCCCGATGAAAAAATTGGTAAGGATGGTAAAAAACATACTATTGTTACAAGATCTAAAACTGGTTCACTTACTCCGCGTACTTTTAATATGGATGATTTAAAAAGACGCACGGGTAATGAATTGGAAAAGAGTTTTAAGGATGACAATGCTGACAGTGGTCGTTTAACCCGACAAAAAGCTCATCAAATAGCCACTGGTACTCATTTGTTTAAACTTGGTATGGATTGTAATTATAAATCTTATGTCAATCAATTTACTACGAATCCAATTGCATTGAATAAGCCACAGAGGAACGAAGAGCGTGATAAAAAACGTCATTTGTCGCATAAATTTTCACTTACTCCAGCGTCGGAATTCAAATGGGTAGGAAGTTTAACGGGTACACGTGCGTTGCTGGTAAGTACCATAAGACAAACAATTCTTCAGCTGGAGAGTGCCATTCAAGCGCCGTTTATGCACACCAACTGGCCGTTGCTGAAAAAACCATGGACTACAGCTGTGGGCTCCTGCTGCAATCCCCGAGATTTTGCTCGTGCTCTTATTGTACTTCAGGCGTGTATTAAATCCGTTGTATTCGCAAGTGTTTGGCATGATCAATTGGGTCACGTTAAACTGCAACGAGTTACCGCTTTGGAAAGAGAGGAGAAGAAACGACAGGACAAAAAGGAGAAAAAAGAAAAAGAAGACGAAGAAGAACGTAATAGATTGACGTTTAACTTTGTTAAGTATTCATTGGGACTTAAACACCAAGTTTGGAAGCAAAAAGGCGAAGAGTATCGTGTTCATGGACAATGGGGGTGGCTATGGATATCCGCAAGTCGTCGTTACAAATGCGGTGATGCTTCTAAGTGTGGATTAAAAGGTGGACCGCAAAAAATAATGGTTCAAATTCGTGATGTTAGTGGGCTTAAGATTTTAGCTCTTGATCCACCTACTTATGATTATTTGATGCAAGTTCACGGTTTATCGCCCAAGGAAGTCAAACAGGAAGATGTTAAGCCGGACATTAAGGAAGAAGTTGAGTCAGAGGCTGATAAAAAACCCACTGATGATGTTAAGAAAGAAGATATCAAGACTGAAGTCAAGGATGAAAAGGATGTTAAGACAGAAGATAAAAAATTAAAGGTACCGTTTTTGGAGAATATGAAAATAGAAAAAGTATTTTCTGTTATTGATAAATTTGAGGAGATAGATGTGATGAAAGCTTTGACAACACCAGGAAGATTACATTATCCAAAAGTGGCTAAAAAAACCCGGATTGATGAATTTTTATCACGTCGTGCTCATTTAAAAGTACTGGAAGAGCGGCGTCTTTCGCAAACAGAAAAACATGACGCTAGTTCTGTTAAAAATGAAGATGAAGGCGGTAATGATGATAATGAAGAGTCTAATAACACGTCGCTTCAAAGTATCTTGGCTGGTAAAATGCCTAATAAATCTCTTGCACCGCCAGTAAGAGAAATGCTTATCACTGTTGCTAAACGTATCCAACAAGTTAGAAGCCAGTACGCTGCTGCGATGAAGATAGGCAAGGGGAATAGTTGTTATTCTCGGTACTGTAACATGACTGGAGCTGCTGCTAAGACACCTATTACACCTCAAAGTTTGAATTCAACTTGTTACTCTCCTATTTGTCTACAGAAAGCCAGACTCAAGCGTGATCTTGTTAATTTATTACGACGTGCTAACGCACTTAATAATAATCAAACAGCTGGTGGATTGGTAACGCTCACATCTTCGGGAGTCAAAAAAATAGAAATTGCTCCTACTAAACCAACTAAGGAGGAGAACAAGGATGCAATTAAACGTGATCTTGAATCGGCTGTCGCTTCAGCAACTCACTGTATTGAAGAAGTTCCAGCAACAAATGTTAATGTTGAAAAAGACAGTCCTAAAGCTAAGCGCGTTAAATTGGAAGATGATAACGTTGATGTTGAAAGTACTGATGTTAAATCGGAAAAAGTTGATAGGATTAAATCTGAAGCTGATGAAAAATCTGCCAGCAATGCTGGATCCAAGTTGACCATTGTTAATAAACGTGGTAGAACGGTACAACGTTGTTCTGTTGCTAAGGAACTCAGTGCTGATGGTACTGTCAGAGTTTACTCGACAGTCAGTACTGAAGGCAAAGTTTACTTGAAAAAAGTTGCTGTTACCAATGCTGAACGGAACAGAAAGAAACGTGCTCCAGTTAAGTATCCACTCTGCTCGACTTTCTGCACCAAGGCTAAGCAGAGGAGTATATTGTTGTTGCCGCAACACGAGCTTAGAAAGTTATCAAGAAATGCTGGTAGAATTCCAACTCAAGGATTCCATGCTCAAGCTAAGGTAAATCTTTTTTTTTTTATATTTTCTAATTTGTGCTTTTTAAGTACACCCAGTACTTGAACACTTATAAAAATGAGACCAGTACTTGAATAGACTTTTCGAATTGTTGTAATACAAAATTCGTAAATTTATTATGAGTAATATGCGCATTTTATAATTATTCAATGATACAGTAATTGATTTCTCTAAGTTTTTTCAATTATAAATCAAAATAATTATATTTTTTTTTTTTAACTTAAAAATTGACATCTCGAGAATAACCGATAGATGCTTTTTTTCATAAAAAAGTTACTAAATCGTAAGCCGAACAATCAGTAAAAAAAAAAAACAATATATCATCATTTTAAGTAAAAAAAATTGCACCACCCAATGAAATAATCTTTTTTAAATAATACATATTTTTTGCAAAGATATGTATAAATTATAATTTTTATATTAAATTTTAGTGTCTAACTATATCTCCAAATTTTCAAAGTGGTACCCAGAACTTGAACGAGCTAGGCCGTATAATTTTAACTGCACTCTAATAGGTTTATAGACTAGTGATCAGCATTGTGATTTGTATTAATTACTGCAAATTAAATAAGTTTTATAGCCAAAAATTAGTGCAGTTAAAAATTATTGAACGTTTTGAATTGAGTTTTTTTTTTATAATTGGAAAATTTATTTTGTCATTCAGAAAAAATATTACTAAAAAATTAACTACAAATATTTCTCATTTTTAAATGAACATATTAAATATTCAGAGTATAATTTTTAATATTAATAAATAATATGTTATAATTCTTTTGATATTTCAAGAAAACGTTGAAAATTTCTGCTGTGCCTATTGGCATATATTTTATTAGTTCAACTATTGCTCCCGAAGTGTTCAACTACTGCCGCTTGTCAGAATTAATTGTTCAACTACTACTCCTTTCATAGTCTATCTTAAAAACGTTGTCAAAATATAAATATTGAATTATCTGTGCACTGAAAAAAAAATTAACTTGATTCAAGAGAAAAATTCTTGAACGAAGAATATAATTTTGAAGAGGGTAATTGTCTTGAATCAAGACGAAAAATTCTTGAATCAAGTAAAATTTTCTTAAATCAAGAATTTTTCTACTTAAATCAAGAATATTAAGTTCTTCAAAATTATATACTTGATTTAATAAATATTTTTTTTTCTGTGTGTTATTTTGCGCTTCAATCAATTTAAAATTGTTCATATTTTCATGAAAATCACTAATTTGAACTAATAATTACATCTTTATATTTTAAAAGTAGGGTCAAATACGTTTTACTTTAAAACCTGTTCAACTACTGGGTACTTTACATTATAATTTTGAAGTTGAAATTTACATTTTATTATTTTACAGGCAAATATGTCAGTGTGGCCGTACCAGTGTCCAAGACCCTTATTCAAAACCTGCTGGTTGTACCGTACAGTCGGTTTAAAATCACTAGCAGCCGCGGCGCTTCAATTGAGAATACTCTGGGCATGTTTGAGGTGGGACGATATGGTGGCTAAGCCTTTGTCAGCTGATGGAAAACATCAGATAACTACTGACACTGAAATAATGTCACTGGAGATCTTGAAACACCGACACGTAGGACAGTTTATGGACCGAGTACAATATTTACGACGGAAAGTTGTGATTCCTCTGGAACTTCCTAAACAAATTCGCGAAGTTACATCCATACGAAGTGGATTGAGGAAACGTAAGCGCCCAGAGTCACCACAGAGCACTGAACCACAGGTGTCCGAAGAATGGGTTGATGAAGACAAACTTGATTTATGGGAAATAAAGCAATACGGAGACAGGTAAAAATTATTTATTATTACTTTTAATTAATGCACGCTTTGGGATTTATAAACTCATTCCTTTCCACAATTAACAATCTCTAATTGAATAAACTAACACATAAAATGCTTTGGCGTGTCTCTTTTCTATAGGTTAGAAAAGGCTAATGCCCAGATTATTACTAGGAGTCGATCTGGCGGACCTCAGACTGGTGTGATGAACCGTGGATCATTGGCGGGCTCAAGTGAAGTTAGTGGTAAAGCTACGCCTGAAGAGATTAAAGAAAAAATAGAACAACAATTAAGGATGCAAAGAGCTGCGCATCAACAAAAACGGGCTCTTGAAACTCTTAAAAATCCTTCGAATTCATCGCCGCAGCTTCTTAAAGTTACAACTAATACCAATCAAGGTAAATATAATTATTTTGTCTCAATAAATATTTTTGATAGTCTAATTTTATAGACAAAAAATTTAAAAGGTAAATCTTTACAAGTGGGGGGGTCAATCATTTTAATTTACATTTTTTTTTAACAAAATTTCTATTTAATTTTATTGATAAATTTTTTTTTTTTAAAATACATAAAATGAATAATTTAAAAAAAAAAAATGTTTATTATCATAATTTTAACAAAGTTCATAAATTTTCAAAAAAATTTATAAATTTTTTAGAAAATTGTGATAATTGACTTTTTTTTTTAAATTGTTTGTTTTTTATGTACTTTTCAAAATAAATATATCAAAAAAAGATAAAATAGAAATTTTATCCAAAAACATGAGAGTCAATTTTTTTTTTCCAACTTTTGAAGGCAAAAAAACTATTGAAATCTTTATTTTTTTCTTTTACATTTTTCATCAATGTGCCGTAAAAACAAGAGAAAAAAAAAATGTTAATTTTTTACTTAGCTATGGCCTAAAATGGGGTTGACCTCACTTGTAAATAATTACCTTTTTGGTAAATATTTACAAGTAGGGTCAACCATTTTAATTTTCATTTTTTTAACGAAATTTTTATTTGATTTTATTGATGTATTTTTTTAAAGCATGTAAAAAAATGAACAATTAAAAAAAAAAATTTAGAAATTTTTTAGAAAATTGTGATTAAAGCTAAAAAAGTTATCGAAATCTTATTTTTTTTCTTTCACGACATTTTTTATCATAAATGCTTTGTAAAAAGAAGCAGAAATCAAAACAAAATTTGAAAATGTTAATTTTTCACCTAGTTATGACCCAAAATGGGGTCAACCATTATAATTTTCATTTTTTTAAATGAAATTTCTATTTGACTTTATTGATATATATTTTTTTGGAAAATACATAAAAAAATGAACAATTAAAAAAAAAAAAGTTGATTATCACAATTTTAACAAATTTTCAAATGAATTTATAAATTTTTTTCCACTAGTTATAGCCCAAAATGGGGTTGACCTCACTTGTAAATAATTACCAATTAAAATTATTAAATATAATTACTTTTAGTAAAAGAAATGTTTAATACCAATAAATTATATTTTTTTTAGATGGTGCAATTAAAGTAGTGTCAAAGGTGGCGATACCAGTGAACCCGAATACTCCTCAAGGGAAATCACAATTGACATCTTTATTAACAACTCCGAATCAACACAAAACAATAACTCGTCGTATCTTCATGACTAAATCCGCAGACGGAACAACACGAATGGTATCTGGTCCTACGAGCATTCTACCCAAGACAACATCATCACCGGCTGCTCTAAATCAACAGTCACTGATAAAAACTGGTACTCCCAGCACACCTCAACAAGGACAGCAAAAAGTTCAAATTTTACGTGGACCTGATGGTAAATTGCAAGTACGTGGATTGATGCCAGGCCAACAGTTAGTTCAAATGCCCGATGGTAAACTCCATGTACTGAATACGACTCCTACAATCGCTGCGTCTACCATGACAACGCCAAACTCAACGACTACGGTTGTTGCTTCACCGCAGTCTAATGTCAAAACAGTAACGACTAAGTTGACACCTGCAAAAGGAACCTTGGTAAAAAGTATAGTTCAAAGTCCACAAATACAATCAACAACTCCAGTAACATCGCGGATCAAAACTGTGCCAATGGCTGCAGTTTCTAACACGACTGGTGTTCTAACACCGCACAAGAATACAATTGTGATGGCTAATTCAGGTCAAATTCAGCTTCAAGGGCAAGTTATCACCACAAGTGGTCAGGTGAATCAGATAGTAGTTAATAATGCAACTTTAGCTCAACAATTAGCGAGTGGCAAAGCGCAGCTTGCTACTGTTGGTGGTCACCAAGTTATTATAAGAAGCGCACCCACTGGTGGTAACCAAATTGTTATACCAAATTCAGCGAGTCCAGGTATAATTGTCAAGACGAATGCTATACAAAAAACTCCGATTGCAGCTCAAACGATAACTTCAACAGTTGCAAGTCAAACACCAGCAGCACCTACTGGGACACCAGTAACTACCAGGGTCCAAGCTCCTATTAATAATGTAACACCAGCGACACCAGCTGCTACACCAATAGCAGCAACTACTCCGGTAGCAGCAACAACCGCGACAACAACTACCACGCCAACTTCATCTATTCCTGCGGGTACAGAGGCATCATTACTCGCTTCACAGCCGCCTGGTACTGTGATAAAATGCGTAACAGCTCAAGTTATCGGGACGACTCACGGTCCTAGAATAGTTCTCCAAGGTCTCCAGGGTGCAGATTTTACTCCTCAGCAATTGGCGATGGTTCAACAGCAAGTTAAGCAGCAGTTAGTTAAAGCTCAAGAAACTACTGGTAAACAAGGTGTGCTAGGTCCTACTAAAATTTATCTTGCTGTTCAACCTGCGACTCAAACACCAACGACCGCACAAACAACGACTACAACTACAACAAAAACTCCAATAGCAATAAAAACTCCAGTTATTCCCGCGCCTGCTTTGACTCCGGTAAAAACTCCGATACCAGTAGCTCATATAAAGGTTGAGAAAAATTTAGATATGCCTAAAATAGCTCCAGCTCCAGCTACAGCTGACAAACCTAAAGTTGTTGTTCAACAAGTCAGCAGGACAAATGTCTCTGAAGATGAGCCTCAAAGAATTGTTTTGGCTAATGGACAACAACCAGCGGCAGTTAAAACACAAGTTACTGTTAAAACTGAAGAAGATAAAGATACTTTTACAGTAACGGAAGACTTTATTGAACATTCGGTGAGAACAGCTTTGAAGCAGGAGAATTTAAATCCAGAAATAACTGAAAAACTTTTGAAATTTCAACGTTATCGCGAGCGAAGCAAAAAAGATGCTGAAAATTCAGTGTCGAATATACAGCACCAGCATACGACACCAGTAGCACGTACACCTTCGCGAAAAAGACCTGCACCTGGTACACCGATAACAGTAGCGGCTGGATCAATTACACCCTCAATAGCACTGAGAGACTCGACGCAGACTAATGAAAAAATTAACGAGTGGTCTGAGACACCACGCAAGAAGATTATTATTAAACAAGAGCCAAAGGAATCTCCCAAGATGGTGTCCAAGCAATTACTCGAGGACAGCAGCAGTGTCAACAGCAGCAACGTCATTGGAAGTAACAACACTGGGAATGTCAACGAAGCAGCGGCAGCAGCTCAACGGAACCGGTCGTTAAAGTTGAAAGATTCACAGGAAGCACGGAAGAAGCAGCAGGTACATTCTCGCATGCAAGTTCTACTTTTTCGTCACAAAGAACTTCTCAAAAAGGATATACTGAAAAAACGCGCACTGCTGGAGAAGGAATTACAGATTGACATCCAGAAGGATTTATCAGCGGAATTGACCACCCGGACCAAGGCTGAGCGGCATAAACAGGACGAGGTAAAAGTTGGAAGCGCTAAACGCAAAGCCAACGCACAGGTACCAACTCAGGTCAGTCCAAGTCGCAGCGGGGGTAAAGCTAAAAAGCATCGTGCTCCAAGTCATCATCACCATACACCACCGGGTGGATCATCATCGATGCCGAATCGTTTGAAAAAAGAAAAACTTTATTGCTTATGTAGAACACCTTACGATGAAACTAAATTCTACGTTGGGTGTGATCTATGTAATAATTGGTTCCATGGTGAATGCGTTGGTATCACTGAAGAGATGAGTAAATCACTTTCAGAATTTGTTTGTACTGAGTGTCGACACGCTAGAGATACACAAGAGCTGTATTGTCTTTGCAAGCAGCCTTATGATGAATCTCAGTAAGTCTTTTTATTTACTTGGCTCTATTTTTTAATATATTAATTTTAAGTTTTATTTTGTTTATTTATTGTATCTTTGCTGATTTTTTTTTAATGTATTCTTTTTATAATTTTTTTTTTTTTTTTATTTTGTATTAATTTTTGTACGACAATTATTGTATTGAATTTTTTAATTGAATTGTAAAGTAACTTACTGTATTATTTTAAGATTCTACATTTGTTGTGATAAATGTCAAGACTGGTTCCACGGTCGTTGTGTTGGAATATTACAGTCTGAAGCTGATAATATTGATGAATATGTTTGCCCTAATTGCCAAAAAAATTCGTCAGTTAATTTTGCAAATATGAAAAACCTTGATAATAAAGATTTTGATTTATTGAAGAAATTAATTAAGCAAATGCAGGTGTGTATCAATTGAGGAATTTTTTACATTTCAATAAAATTTATAATTAAAAAAAAAAAAACAATTATGTATTATTCATTCATTTATAAATTAATTACAGGCCCATAAAAGTGCATGGCCGTTTATGGAACCCGTAGATCCAACTGAAGCGCCGGATTATTATAAAATAATAAAAGAACCTATGGGTAAATAATAGTTGATTTATTTAAAAATTAAAAAAAATTTTTTTTCTTGTTATTTAAAATTAATCTAATACATTTATATCGACAGATCTTCAAACTATTGAATTCAGGATAAACAGCAGGTCATACAAGAAATTAAGTGAATTTATCGGTGATATGACGAAAATATTTGACAATTGTCGTTACTACAATCAAAAAGAGTCGCAATTCTTTAAGTGTGCCGAGTCGCTGGAAACATTTTTCGTCCATAAAATAAAGAGTTTACGGGAAAAATTTTCTGAAGGAAAATAAATACAACACTTTTGCATATAAATAAATAAATAAATAAATAAACACTACAGTGATTTTTAAAATAATTTCTTGAATAAATTCAGGAATTAAATTTTTAAATATTTAAATTTAAAATAAATGAATTATTTTTATTTATTAGAGTCGTGTGAATGTTTAAAAAAAAATATATTATTAATCAATATTTTTTAGTGTAAATTAATATTAATCCCAACGATGTAAAGAAAATTTAACAAGAGATCAAGTAATCTCCAATATTCACGCGGCGCTAAAACAAATTAACATATTTGTAATATCACATTATATTTTTTTGTTCATTGAAATTAATAGAATTATAATACATAATAATAATAATAATAATAATAAAAAAAAAAAGTAATTTAATAATAGTGTCTATAAAAAAATTTTTCTAAATCATGATCATAATTTTTAGAATTCACGATTAACAGCGTGATCATGTTAATGATATTAAAAAAAAAAAGTACATATAAAATAATAGCTAACATCGTACACAAATTTTCGTGCCCTCTATTATAGTATAAATTATTATATTGAAGCAAGTAATAATAATAAAATAATTAGAGCGTGCATAATAAATTGTACAAATTTATTTATTATGCTCATAAATAATTAATTCATTGAGATTGTTTTAATCACATAAATTTTCTATGCAATTGTTTATAAACAATAATATGTTAGATTGTAAGATGTCTACGAAAAGATAAATTTAATATTAATAAAAAATTATAATGATTTAATTAAGTAAGTTAACTTTGTAAATAATAATAATAATAATAATTTAAAGTAATAATAGATGTTTAAGCATCTTAAAAATTTTTTTGGAAACTTTTATTACAAAATTAATATTTATAAATAAATAAACAATTGCAGACAGCGATTTATGCAAAACAATAATTATTTACATCACTTGAATTATTGTATCTTCATTTTTTTAATGACATTGATTGCCTTTTTAAAAATGTAAAAATTATATCATCGTTTTGTTCAAAACAATTTTATAATTGGATATTTTTCTTTATTATTATTATCTCGGTATTTTGTTAAAAAAAAATAAAGTTATAAACAAAATAATGACTACGCAAAATTGTAAAAAAATATTGTGTTAATTAAGGTAATAATTATAATAATAATTAATGATAATAATATTAATAATAATTAACGAATGAGCGATGTACAGTATTTTTAATTCATGTTCTAGGGTAATGCCTGGCGAACAAATTTTTTTAAACAATAATAACGATAATTAATAATAAAGAAGAATAATTAATAAACTCAATTAAATCTGCGATAATATTAAGAAAAAAAATATTGAATTATTCATTTTCAAAATTAATAAATAACTATAGTTTTTTATGTATAAGTTAGATAATTATAAGTGCTATATATATTTTTTCTTAATTATCAACAGTGTAAATGTTTTTAGTTTTAAAATTAATTTAGTTATTAAGTATGCTAAATCTCACACAGGGACACGATTTAACAAATTTACCTATTGTGACGTACACACGTGCACACAATGTTAAATAAAAAAAAAATGATTTAATAAAAAAAAAAAAAAAACCAAGATTAATCTCTAATTTATATTTATAATAACAATTACATCAAATTAGTGCCAGTACATAATTTTAAGTTTTATTTTAATTGTAGTCTGCGCTTTTTTAAGCTGATTCGTGATAATCGAAAAACAACTTTAATTATTAAAATCATGTAAAAATGTTCAGTAAAAAAAAGCTCTTATACTACATATAGATTATAATAAATATATTTGTATTAATTTTAATTCATTTCTTATTGTTTCAACTGCACAATATACTAAATTATTTTATTTTATAATTTAATTTTTTAAAATATTTAAAATCTCCTAAATGATAATTTTATTAATGATCGTAATTAAATTATTATACGCTAAAAAATAAAAATTTTAAGTTTATATGAACCTTAAATATTCAAGTTTTTGATATGTGAAGTTATTTAAAATAATTATTCATAAAATTACATATAAATTCACGTTTAAATGCAGGTAAGATAAAAAAACCAGTAGTTGACCGGCTTGATCCAGTAATTGACCGAGGAGTGTTCCAGTAGTTGACCGATTCTCAAACATTGGTTATTATGTAAATTTTAATTAGTTTTTTATGTTTAGTATACAATGTTTTTATGCTTATTTATTTAAATTAGATTTGTATTGGTAGTAAACAAAATTCGTTTAGTTTATATAGAACAAAACTAATAATAATAAAAAAGCAACAGATTAGTAAATTAAACTTCGATTCAATAATGACAAAAGCAAAATATTTTTTTGAGGCACACGTATGCAATTATTAACAGTTTATAAATTATTGACAGTTTATAAATTATTTATAAAATACGATTTATTAAGTGTTAATGAATATTTGTTAACTTTTAACAAATATTTATTTAAAATGAAAAGCAAAAATAACAATTTTCTTTTGACACTTTTTATAACCCTACAGCTAATACATGATAATAATTCAATTCACTAAATAAATTAACGTTCTTAATATTTAAAAATATAAAAGATATTTGAGCTGTGATAAAATTTGTTATGTTACAGTAAACGTTATTATAAAATAATGTAAAGCAATAATGTATATAAAGCAATCATTCATAATATAAGTATGACATTGCAAGCGAAACCTAAATTCACTCAATAAAATATTTATTACCTGTTTATAAATATTGGGTAAATATAAAGAAATACTTATTAACTATTAACAAATGTACTCTTTTCTCCTAAATAAATTAAATTATTAATAGCTAATAAATCCTTCTATCGGTGTGATAGGGTAAATGTACCAGTAGTTGACCGATTAAGGATTTTTGGCATTTCAATTGATCGTAATTAAATTATTATACGCTAAAAAATAAAAATTTTAAGTTTATATGAACCTTAAATATTCAAGTTTTTGATATGTGAAGTTATTTAAAATAATTATTCATAAAATTACATATAAATTCACGTTTAAATGCAGGTAAGTTAAAAACACCAGTAGTTGACCGGCTTGATCCAGTAATTGACCGAGGAGTGTTCCAGTAGTTGACCGATTCTCAAACATTGGTTATTATGTAAATTTTAATTAGTTTTTTATGTTTAGTATACAATGTTTTTATGCTTATTTATTTAAATTAGATTTGTATTGGTAGTAAACAAAATTCGTTTAGTTTAGAACAAAACTAATAATAATAAAAAAGCAACAGATTAGTAAATTAAACTTCGATTCAATAATGACAAAAGCAAAATATTTTTTTGAGGCACACGTATGCAATTATTAACAGTTTATAAATTATTGACAGTTTATAAATTATTTATAAAATAAGATTTATTAACTGTTATTGAATATTTGTTAACTTTTAACAAATATTTATTTAAAATGAAAAGCAAAAATAGTAATTTTCTTTTGACAGTTTTTATAACCCTACAGCTAATACATGATAATAATTCAATTCACTAAATAAATTAACGTTCTTAATATTTAAAAATATAAAAGATATTTGAGCTGTGATCAAATTTGTTATGTTACAGTAAACGTTATTATAAAATAATTTAATTAATATCAATAATTTGTAAAGATAATTTTTGCTTATAAGCATCAATCTTCATAATATAAGTATGACATTGCAAGAGAAACCTAAATTCACTCAATAAAATATTTATTACCTGTTTATAAATATTGGGTAAATATAAAGAAATACTTATTAACTATTAATAAATGTACTTTTTTCTCCTAAATAAATTAAATTATTAATAGCTAATAAATCCTTTTATCAATGTACAAATTTAAACTTGACTCAACAATCATCTTATTTATTTGAAACACATTAAACAATAAGCATAAATACTTCTTTATTATTAATAATTTAATAATTATAAATCCACTCTTATAATTTAGATGAAAAATATGAAAATATATCATGTAAGAGCAAACTATTCGTAACGTGATTGGTCAAATATATCATAAGCATGAAAATATAGATAATTCCATACCAACATTCACACGCGCGCTTGCGCGCGCAACGTATACTAGTCCACTCTTATAATTTAGATGAAAAATATGAAAATATATCATGTAAGAGCAAACTATTCGTAACGTGATTGGTCAAATATATCATCAGCATGAAAATATAGATACCATACCAACATTCACACGCGCGCTTGCGCGCGCAACGTATACTAGTCCCATAATAAAATTGAGATGAAATGTATGTGAAACCAATCTATTCGTGTTATGATTGGTCGAAAATAAATATTCTCATTCTGATTGGTTGAAAGTGAATATACTATACATAAACGACACATAAATATACCATGATAATAAATATGAGGCGCGCGCTTGCGCGCGAAAATTAAATTCTAGTTATTTTAAATAACAACACTTATGTAAACATAATATTATCACGTAAACATATTTATATTTTTATTATTTTATATAGGTTAGAAACTTACAATTGTGCATGCGGTCAACTATTTAATTGGTATTTTGAAAAATAGCAGGTTCCAATAGATGACCGAAGTCATTTATTGATGGTACAACGGTGTTTTATTGTGCCAGTATTTGACCGGTCGTTAAATTGGTATTTATTTGATTTTTTTTGTCAAATCTTATTGAGAGATTTGTTAAGAAACTATTAAAGACTACTTCAGAATTTAATTTGGCAAGATTAACCTAATGGAAACTTTTTTGTTAACTAAAACATGTAGTCGCCTCTCGGATACTCTACTATAGTATTTGACCGATTTTAGTCAGATTATGCGGTGAAAAATTTTCATGAATTATTTTCGATGTTCTAATAATTAAATAAAATCTGGAATACCTATTCATTGTAATGATTATAAGTTTAACAATAGTTAAAAATAAATTTCAGGGTCATAAAAAATGCAGTTAATAATAATTTTCGGACTTTTTTATCAAAGCGGTCAATTACTGGTGCCCGGTCAACTACTGGAACATTTACTCTACTTGATAATTTTAAGAATTTTTTTGAACTAATAAATTATAGTAAAAAAATGAGAAAAGAAAATTGACATAAAGAAATTTAAATAAATAAAAAATGCAATTTTTTTTAAATATTTTTTAAAATACATTTGTTTCTTAAAGAAAATTAAAAAATTGTAAAGTGACAGCTAAATTTAATGAAAATTAAAGTTACAGTTATTTAATAAATTTTAGAATTTTTTTAAGAAATTAATTAGTGCAAAAAAAAATTGACATGTAGAAATTTTAATAAATTAAAAATGCAATTTTTTAAAATTAATTTTTTGGAAGAAAATTTTTTTGTTAAATAAAATTAAAAAATTGAAAAGTGACAGCTAAATTTAATGAAAATTAAAGTTGCAGATATGTAATAAATTTTAGAATTTTTTTAAGAAATAATTTAGTTCAAATAAAATTAGAAAAAAAAAAATTGACATGTAGAAATTTTAAAAAATTAAAAATTCAATTTTTTTAAATTAATTTTTTGGAAGAAATTTTTTTGTTAAATAAAATTAAAAAATTGTCAAGTGACTGATAACTTTAATGTCGTCTAAATTGAATGACATGAAATTATTAGCAAACATCTGACAATTTTTATAACTAATAAATTATTATAAAAAACCTATTTTTAAAAATTGACACTTGTAATTTTTTAAAATCATAAAAAATTTCTACTATTAATTTTTAATTTTATTTTTAGTGAAAGTTTGGTTTATTTATTTATTTTAGGCCTTGAAGAAAAAAAATTAAATCGAGTATAGTGAGATAAAATAATACTGAATTTAAAAAAATTAAGATTTTTATAACAATTAAATTATAATGAAAAAAATTGCACAAAAAAATTTTAAGTGCGAATTTTAAAAAATATTCTTCTTTATAATAATTGACTGGCTAAAAAATTCCAAGAATAATCAGATGTCTGGTAATTTCAGTATCATGAGATAAAAAGAGTTTTGGATGATATATTGAACGAAAGATGGGAGACTGGAGTATGCGTAGTATCGACAAATTTTTTCGTATCATCATGTATAACACCCGTTATATATTTAGAAGACGCTTTAGTACTGTACTAACTCTTGTAAGCGTTGCGTCAAAGAAGAAATATTCATCTGTGAGTATTACCGCTTTTAATTTACTCTATTTGTAACTTAACTGATGATAACTACTATCAATTATTCACTAGTAATTATTTAAATAATCATTTTGAAATTTTTCAGTTAAAAAATGATGAGCAAAACTTGCATCCTTCGAGGCAAATCGATCGTTACGAAGGCTGGGATAAAAGGTATCCTTTACTACATTTCACGCATTAAAAAAATTTAAATAACTTGCGTAATAAATATTATTGAATTATTTTGATAATTTTATGCACTTGTGATAATTGAATCTTTGGAACAATAGAATTATTTGTTATCTTATCATTAAAAATATTATGGCCTTACACAGACAGGTATCAATATTGTGTTTAACGTTGACATTTATCCAATAATTAATCCATTTTTTTTTTTTAATTTCCTGTGAAGAGTAAATAAAACTATTGAATTTAAATGAGAAGAAATTGGGTATTGGAATAGATGATTGTTGTACCCACTTGAGTTTAAGTGGGATAAATTAAAGTAAATCGACCTTACTATTAGCTCGCTTGTACCTTGTTTAGTTTAACTATTTTATAATAATTTATTTTTATTGCTTTCAATTATCTGAAATATATATATATATATATATATATATATATATATATATATATATATATATACCGCAGTAAGTTATTATTTATTAACGACGCAGGAGACAGAAATACATGGAGAAGATGTTTGACAACTGCAACGTGTGTTGAGCCCAAGGGTCCTAGTCTCAAAACTGAAATTCCTGGACCCGCTTCTCGACAGTTGTTTAATGAACTCAATAAATTTCAGGTATAAAAACAGCAGAAAAAAATGAAGTTATTAAAACAATTTTTGGTAATTACTATAATATGAAATTCAAAATTTTTTGGTTTTATTTAGGAAAATTAATTAGTACTGAAAAATTATTTTTTAAAAATTATATTCATAGTAGGGTAAATGCACCAGTTGTTGACCGGTCACCAATTAGTTGACCGATGTATAAAAAAGTTAATTAATTAATATTTTACAAGGGTTTTTTTTTTTCTTAAAGTATTAAAATAAAAAAATATGGCATTTAATCATCATAATAAAAAATTACGCAATTAATTGCGCAGTGATTATAGCTTTAAAAAAATATTCTGAGTTTGTTTACAACGCAACCAGCCATAAAGCGGTCAAAAATAACTACCGTACAATTGGAGAGTGAGTGCATTTCATAATTAATTTAGTGATATTTATCGGCATAATATAAAATATTTTAATTTTATTATGT